AAGTCCACAATCATCTCCTTTGTCTTCTTCACATTGATGTGAAGGTTCTTCTCTCTGCACCAGCTCTCCAGGTGTTCCACCTCCTGCCTGTAGCTGGACTCATCATTGTTTGTGATGCATCCCACCACCGCTGTATCATCTGCAAACTTTACAATGTGACAGCCTGGATGGGTAGCTGCACAATCATATGTGAGAAGAGTAAACAGGAGGGGGCTCAACACACATCCCTGAGGAGAGCCAGTGCTGAGGGTTATGGTGGAGGAGGAGAAGTTGTGGATCCTCACTGACTGTGGTCTGTTTGTTAAGAAGTCTAGGACCCAGTTGCAAATGGAGGGGCTTAGTCCTAGTGTGGATAGTTTGTCCATCAGGGTTTGGGGGATCATGGTGTTGAAGACAGATGTGAATTTTATCATCACAAGTTCACATTTTATCATCATGTCATGCAGGAGAGACGGCCAGGACCGCTCAGAGCTCGTAACAGTCTGGACCTCCACTCAAAGTGTCTGCAGTGAACGATGATAAAAGTTCATTTGTTCTACAACTAGTCCCCAACATTCTCAGCCAGTCTGATGCTGGTCCAGTATTTTACAGGTTGGGTCAAGGCTCCATGACGGTGTTTCCAACCTGCTGGTATGGACGACACCACCTGGTGACCTGAAGGAGCCATCTTTAGAAGAGTCTGTTTTAAACCGGACAGGGCAGGTTCGACTGAGGACGTGCACCTGTTTGACATCAGACCTTTGTAAAACAGAAACCTTGTTGTAACAGCTCGGTCTTCTGCTCATTCGGCTGTTTTAAAGCTGTGCAGCTAAAACACCAGAGGTAAAAATTCAATGTATAGATGAAAAACAAAAGGAAGCCACAGAATGAGAGCGTTTGTGTCGAGCTGTTCATGAAGCAGTTGCTGTGACGTGCACTGATTGCTGATTGTTCCGTGTGAATAGGTGTAGATACAAACGGGTCTCGTCTGTGTACTGTCTGCTGTTTCTACTCACTAATGGATCCATTGTTCAGCTCTGAGCAGCCATTTCCTCTTAATGATGTTCTCTGCTCTCAGACCAACGGTCCAATCACACATTGTTTTATAAAAGGGAAATGGCTTCTTCAGTCTGCATGGAAATGTTTTTACTGTCAGCTGGGTGACGAGGAGAAAGCTCAGAGATCGTGGGTTGTTCTGTCAGAACCACATGGTTACAGTGATGTTCCTGCACGTTCTCACTCTGGAACATATTGATGGATCTTCACTCTGTGACAGGAGCTCAAACACGCTTTACATCTACTCAACCCTTCAAAACCAGCACAAAATGTCATGCTTGGAGGCCTCGCATCCCCTAAAGAAATGCATGTCACCCACCTGAGATCATTTCGTGCTGTCAAAGGACGGCAGTGGTTGGTTTGTCCGGGAACAGATCGTGCAGTGACACAAGCAGGCTGGCAGCAGGCCGGCTGCGGGTCGGCTGCGGGTCGGCTGCGAGTCGGCTGCGGGTCGGCTGCGAGTCGGCTGCGAGTCGGCTGCGGGTCGGCTGCGGGCCGGCTGCGAGTCGGCTGCGGGTCGGCTGCGGGCCGGCTGCGAGTCGGCTGCGGGTCGGCTGCGAGTTGGCTGCGTGTCGGCTGCGGGCCGGCTGCATGCTAACACTAGCCTCCAGGTTATTGTATTGGACTCTGTGATTGCTACATTTATTTGAATGTGCCTATTGAAACAATAATGATCAAACATTAATAATTTTCTAGACTAAATGTCACTGGTGGTGTTATACTATTTCTGAACACCTGCATTTGTACTGATCTGGAGAATGAAAACAATTTAAGCCTCTTGCAAGTAACTGTTAACATTGAATCATTTAAGGTACATTGCGATGGTGAAAAGATAAAATGAAGTACAATGATGAAATGATTTGTGCTAAAGTGCAATATTATGACCTTTAATATTAGGAATATTTAAGAGTTCTCAAAAAATGAGCTTGATTTGACCTACAGAACCTCACTGACCTACAGAACCTCATTGACATACAGAACCTCATTGACCTA